ATTTACGTAAAGCAGGGTTTAGAGCTTGTCATTTGGTAGGTAAACATGAAAATAAGAAGATGTGGTTAATATTTCCAATGAGACAACTTTCCATCAGAGACCAAATCACATAGCAGTTAAAAACTATAGGTCACTTCACGACATCCAACAATGAACAAAACCAATACCGCAGAATCAGCTATAAAAGGCTCTGGAATGACAAGTGTAAAGCAATTTAATGTCTACTTACGAGTTTTGATGCCTTTCCCTGTTTTTGTTTTGTTGGTTTAGTTTGTCATAAAAACATGCCCATATCTTATCTTATTATAATCGACATATTATAAAAGAGAGGCGAAAGATACCAAAGGGACATTTAAACTCATACGTCAAAAATAAACTGACAACGCCATGGTTTAAAAGGAAAAAAAGACCAACAGACAAACAACAGTAGACAAAACACAAAACACAACATAGAAAACTAAAGACTGAGCAACACGAACCTCCAAAAACTGGCGGTGATCTCAGGTGCTCCGGAAGGGTAAGCAGATCCTGCTTCAAATGTGGCACCCGTCGCGTTGCTCATGTAAGTAAAAACCCGGTTATAAGTCTAATTCAGATGGTCACATTCGGGGAAAAGGGACGGGACTTTTGGAACATATCCGTTGTCATCTGTGAAAGATATTATTCAATGGTCAACCAATTCGTGATGGCGTCCGTAATAGTTACCAAGCGATGATTTCAACTTCACCACTTGGAATTTATGATTGTTGTTTTTTTTAAACACATAGGAAAATTAACATTTATTGTGTAGCAGATATATTATTTGAAGTTCAAACTTTTGCTCCTTGTTTAGATTAGGAGCAACTCGGTCTATATATGTACATTTATTTTGCATTTGGGTACCATTTCCATTGAATTTTACTACTTAATTGTTTTATTAACCCGAATCGCTAGACATATTTCTACCATTGCTTTAATTATACAATTAGAGCAACGCTGCGAATGCTCTTTTCCTGTTAATGTTTAATATAATTGTCAAAGATACAAATATTTACTATGTTAAAGATGATTTTCTGTTTTCGGACAGTGAAATGAGTGTGTGGCTGTTACGTCACATTACAGTCTTTGATTAGAAAAAAAAATACGAGCGTTAGAAAATTTCAGATAAAACCATACAGTCATTACTCACAAAATAATAATGGATGGAGAAAATATACATTTTGCGAACAATTTGTTATTTCTTTCAGGGTTAGAACATGGTGTATATAACCTCTGATTTGCTTGTACTAGACAAACAGGGTAAGTAAAAAGTATAACAAACTAGGTCAAATATTCTAAGAGCATCAAAAGTCATGTCATACAACCCCGGGCAGACCACTGTTTGTTCTTATCTATATAAATCGTGTTTTTTTTATGAAACGGCAAATACTGATTGTTGTTACAAGTTATTTAATAAAAGTTCAATGTTTATGATCAGGTCCATTTGAGAATACTTTTTTGATAAATTAAGTTAACAGTACGTAGTTCATAAATGTTCATATCTCATCAATTGATTAAGAAGACAAATAAAGGTATCAAACGAAAACTGAGGGAATCGTATGGACTCCATTATAAGTAGGTAATTGATATTTGTTTTGAGATTTATCATTAACGATGCATCTTCATCGAGTTCTTTTATTATGTAAGAGGTATTATGAAAAGCAATTGATGTTTACCAAGCGTTTATGAATTTCAGTTTTAAGCAATCGATAAGGATCCTATAGGTCTTATCCAGAAAAAGGATCTCCTGATGTACTAGAATAATATTTAAAAAATCTTTGATTATCTTATTACAACGATAAAAGACACTCTATTGAAAATTTAAAGTCAATATTTTTATCCGTTAAGAGACCACCTGACAGAAATCTTCAATAGTAAGGTAGATTTACAGTATACCATCGTCGTAGATTGGGAAATAACAGTAAATAATCGGTCTAGTACTTTGTTCAACATCTCAAATTTTGAGACATATTGACAATTAATTTGTAAGACTGGTAATTGGAACAAAAAAGCTAATGATTTATTGCATTCTTATATCTGTTTTTACAAATACCACATTTTTGCGATTGCTCGAATCAATTTTTCAACTTAGCAATTTCAGGGGAGATAGCTCTTAAAGTAAAATATAATAAAGGAATGATCAAGACATTTTAACCTTTTACGTGTAGAAAAACTAGTTCGTTGACACCATTTTTATTTTTATCTTCTTAAACCATTTAATAAAACCTAACTTCTCAAAAAGTGTTTTTTCATGAATAATCTACGCAAAATTAGGCAATATTTGCAAGACTTGTAGCTTGAGAAATAGCACGTTGACCCATACTTTTTATTTTATTTTTGAGAGACGTAAGGTAAAATCTATATTTTGGAAAAGTATAAGAAAATTCTATCTGGGGAAATATGTACTGTATAAACCACATTAAGTAGTATTATTACATGTATCATGTGTAGTTGACAGTATAAACTGGCATTATAAACTATCATTTAAAAATTTAAATTTTTTTTGGACAAATAATATTGAGATTTTGTCGAGTCATAAGTCCTTCATGGCTTCAATGAACATAACATTGAACAGCAAATCTGAGGACTTACCTTGTTTTTATTAGATATCTAAGCTTCACAAAATTCCGTACTAATAACTGTACATTGACGGCTCATCTGCATGTTCTACGAAAGATGTGTCCATTAGATTGACAAAAATTCTGTCCGCAGTGAAAGATAGTCTTCAGAAATACTGTGAAACTGTTTAATCGCGTAGTGATATTAACCATACGTGGATTCTAAAACACTCTAAAGAACTGGATAATTTTGAATCTTGATCTTTCTCTGAAATTAGTTCTATCAAAACTTTTGATTTATGAACCCTGTATACCACCGTTCCCCATGTGAAATTGACAAATCGTCTAAAAAAATAATCGACAAAGCTTTTCAATGTAAAAATGGTAGCATACGCTATAAATTTATTACTTTGGGACACCATACGGCATATTTTGTTAATAGTGAACAAAAAGGTAAAACATGAGTTCTCTCATATCTGTACGTAGTGTCTTTTTGTTGTGGGGATGTATAAGTACCCCGCCACGTCCACTCTGTGTTTTTGTTATATGTATTTCTGTTTGTATCCATCTGATGATTTAAACCTTTTTCAACTGATTTTTATAGTTCTTATGTTGTACTGTTACACAGTCCATGGCTAGGGGGAGGGATTGTCGCCCGCTAACATGTTTAACCCCGCCACATTCTGTATGTGCCTGTCCCAAGTCGGAAGCCTGTAATTCAGTGGTTGTCGTTTGTTTCTGTGTATCATATTTGTTTTTCGCTCTTTATTTTGTACATAAATTAGCCTGTTAGTGTTCTCGTTTGAATTGTTTACATTTGTCATTTCGGGGCCTTTTATAGCTGACTATGCGGTATGGATTTTACTCATTGTTGTAGGCCGTACGATGACCTATAGTGGTTAATTTCTGAGTCATTTAGTCTCTTGTGGATGATTGTCTCATTGGCAATTATACCACATCTTCTTACTCATATACACAGAGCAACAAGTGATCAGTATGCTGGAGTTTCTGATTAACAATATATTTGTTGAATTTGAAGGTAGACTTTTAACAAATTTTCGGCATTCCTATGGGAACGAACTATGCGCCTCTGCTTGCCGACCTCTTCTTATTTTCATATGTTTCCGAATTCCTTCAGACACTTGTCAAAAACAAGAAGATCAAAGAAGACGTCATTTAATTTCACAATCAGATATATTGATGATGTTCTTTACACTAACAATACAAACTTTTCTGATTTGGTTCCATTAATATATCGTTCAGAACTAGAAATAAAAGAAACAACAGACACGGCTTCTTTCGCCTCATTTTTAGACTTATACCTCGAATTTGACATAAGCGGTCATCTCAGTACCAGAATCTATGACAAACGAGACGATTTTGATTTTAAAATTATCAATTTCCCCCACCTTAGTAGCAATATACAAACTTTACCAGCATATGGGATATACATTTCCCTACTCATTCTGTATTCAAGAGCTTGCAGCTGCTACTCAGACTTTATAACACGTCACCGGTGTCTGAGCAGAAAGTTGATGAACCAGGGTTATGTCAAAGAACGTCTCGTCCTTTTTCTAAATAAGTTCATCGGATGATACCAAGACCTTGTTGATAAATATTCCCTAATAACTTCACAAATAATACATGATGGTCTTCAAGTATAGATTCTAGGTACTGACATGTTTTTATCATCTTAATTACCTGTTAAAGTGTTCTTTGTTTTTGTCTTTGTAAATTATTACCTTTACTGTTTAGTCCATTTTTGATAATATCCTTTTGACGTGGCTCGGTACTTATACATCCCGTCAGTGTGTTATTGTGTTATGATAATTTTTGTATTTTTGTATTTCATTTTTGCTTATGTGCTTTGTCTATATGCCATTTTGTTTTTCTTTGTTCATATATTTGTTTGTTTTTAAAGTGATGAAAACTATAACACAATGTTGACTGCTGTACTTCTATTTTTGACATTTTTACCTATTATATCTGTTTGTTTTGTTCACACATTGTTGTAAATATAATGGAACTTTATGCGACCGTTATACAAGTGAGAGGTTTAGCTAGCTACAAAACCATGTTTAATCCACCATTTTCTACACAAGGAAATGCCTGTACCAAGTTAGGAATATGACAGTTGTTTACCATTCGTTTGATGTGTTTGAGCTTTTGATTTTGCCATTTGATAAGGGACTTTCCAATTTATTTTTCCTTGGAGTTCGGTATTTTGTTATTTTACTTTTTGATATGTCATTTTTTGCTTGAAATTCTGAACTCTAACTATCCTAGAAGTCAGTTGCAGCATATTCACACTTTGTGACTGTATTCCAGAGAACAAAGCTACGAAGGGACAAATCGCTTATGTGTAGTAATCTTGTAAACTTTTGAGTACATTTTACAGCTATTTAGGCATAATGATACTATAGATTTCAACAACGACAAAACATTTTTATTTCATTTTCAAACTTCAAAAAACTTTTATATGACACTGTGTTAATTAATATGATATATGCAAAACAACAAATGGCTATATTTATACACAAGCATGCGTTTAATAATAGTACTGCCATTCACTTGATCCATCACCTCCTTCCATTTCATGAAGCCCACAATCGTACGTATATCTAAAATTGCCATAGCGATCATGATCATCATCAGAATCATTGTTCCATCTATCATCATAATCGTCGTCATAATCATTATACAAAAAATCATTGTCGTCGTCGTCGTACATTCTGCTTTGAGCAGAATCAAATTGCGGCGGCTCAGACGATGCTATTGGTAATTTGGCAGCTTCCTGATTCGAATCTCCATCGGGTTTCTTTTCAATTTCTGGAATAATTGGTACATGTCCAAGGCGGGGCTCTAAATATGGACATTGCCTATCTGTATGACTCTTAACCATTTTACAAACTCTACACAGCTGATCTCCTTTACGCAATTGATTTTTCGAAAATTCATCATAAGGAAAGAGACGCTGACAACCAGTACACTTTGTATTGCCTTTGGTAAAACTGGTTTGTCCTTTGTCAGGAATGATGTCGATTGGTAGATAAGGATTGCGTTCATATTGATTAAATCTTCTCATGACCATTGAGCGCTTGGTGTTGCAATATATTTCAGAAGCAATGCGCAATCGGTTCATTTCTTCTTCATCAGGTTTAAGTGTGTCATAAAGGGGGAAAAGACACTTTACATCATATGCAGCGTATTTAAGCAGGGTATCAGAGAGAGGTCTTTCCTCCAATAGGTTTTTCTGTAATTTCATTTTTCTTTCTACGATTTGTTTTATTCGCAATATGTCATTGTCTTTTTGGTAATGGTACATGCAAGAAATGAGACTTTCTAAGCGCACAATCTCGTGATCTCTAAAATTCCGCTTTTTCCACTCACTCTGTACTTTTGCTGTAGCTTGTGTTATAATTTCCAACAACTGGATATCTAGTACTCCGTCCAGATTGACGTCAAACAAATGCCACAGGGCATCTGAATCCTCTCGGCAATCAAAGAGTAGTTTATTGATCGCATCATCTTCAAAAATCTCCTTTAGACCTTTGTCAAACGTAGCCGGACCTAATTTTAAAACATCAAACAGATATACTTGGCTACGTGTAGCAATAGCAAGAAGTGTTATTGTTCCGGATCTGGATAGATTTAGTCCTTCTAAATCTAAAGCAATAATATTTTCCGTAGATAAAGCATTTTGTATTTCATGTACCGCGGACTTTAGATCTTCTGTGGTTGTAATATATTTGTATAATTGTTTCATGTCTTCTTCACAATTCTGGGCAGTTCCACATTTTTCATCAACATTAAGTCCGTCAATTTTTTCAACCAGAGAATCCCCTGCAGCTAGCATTTTCCAGTTTTGTTACCAATTTTTATCCTGCATTGAATAAAGGAAAAAGAAAAACACATCAACGATACAGGCTTAGAATTTTGTACGGCAAATTTCTTTAAGAAGCGGGTTATAAATGTGTGCGTTATATTGTGTCTGATAAAGCAGTTTCAGGAATTGTTCTGTTATCTGTTCCTTTTATGGTTCTTTACGCTTTATGGAATTTAATTTCTCTAAGTCTTAAACAATGGTGAGTTTTCTATTATCTATACAATGATTGAAACAAATGACAAGATGCTCAAGGTTTTTAGTTTTTGTAATGTTTTGTAGACTACATGTATTGTTTGCATTTGTGTTTTCGTCGTATTTTGTTTTTGCCATAATTGTATCTGTTTCCCTTGGACTTTTGCGTTTTTATTCTTCCTATGATATCCTTTTTTCACTTACATATCCATACTTTAATTAAAATACAGTCATTTAAAATTACATTCTTTAATTGTCAAACAAGTAAAGAAATGACGTAAAGGAAATAATAAAAATTGACGTCAAATAGACATTTTGTAAACTTTGGTGGATAGTTGTCTCTTTGGCAATCATACGACATCTACTAATTTTTATAACTTCTCTTCCTCAGGAAAAAACACGTATCGTGGACATACAATCAGGAGATATTTGTTTGGGAATCAGGACAACAGTTACTTTTTTCAAAGACAAGTTGGACCATTTTTAAGTCAATTGAAACTCCTCATTACAAACTATAACTAACTACTTCTTAAATTAAGATAAATATGTATTTTGCGTTGAGAACGATAATTATATGTTTCATAACGAGTGAGAAGAAGTATATTTTTTTTTTGACATTTTTTTTTAATTTCAAATCTATGAATATGTCAGTTGTTTTTCACTTGATAACGTTTGATTTTGTTAGTTTTTATGGACTTTTCCTTTTTGAATTTGCTTTGGAATTCGGTATTTTTGATATACTTTTTTTTTAGTCATCAAATCATAATAATAATAAATTCTTCTTCAAAATATGTTGCTTTTCCTATGATTTGTTACGTCAACAAGGTGAGAAGCGAAACATGGGACACTCATTAATAATAATTAAACGTTTTGCCCAGTATGACTACTCGTAATTTCGTGCCGTTATATAAGCGCACTCTTTTCAGTTTTTCCTAGTCAACGATTGCTTAAATAAAAATAATATTTGAAATAGAATTTTACGAATTTCTGCTTCGAAGCACTTTTCAGGATTAGTCTCCAACAAATATGTTCAGAACTAAACTTCAGAGATCAAATGATGTAAAAAATACATGCTTTTCTATACTGAGACTAAATAAACTCATCATAGATAACAGGAGTCGAATTTTGTACACTAGTCACGCTTTTCGACGAAACGAGACCCACATAATATAATTATTCAAATTGTTAAAAAATAATTATGCATAAAGGAGTATGACATTTGTTTTTTTTTTTGCTACAAAACTTATCGATTAATAATAAATCAAAATGTATGTAATTTGATAAACAAATAAATAGGTAGATGGATGTTTTGATTGGACATTTAAGTACACAAGTCGTAGTTAATTCATTTTATTTGTATGAATCTACCTGACAAGGAGCATATTTCATGCTTGCTGTTCGGTGTGAGCCAAGGCTCCGTGTTGAAGGCCATACTTTGACCTATAATGGTTTAGTTTTACAAATTGTGACTTGGATGGAGAGTTGTCTTAATGTCACTCATACCACATCTTCTTATATCTATATACATTCCAAACGAATGATACCGAAAGGAATGATAATTTAACCATGTTCTGACTGGCGACACAAATGACCTTTTATTTGCGTTATAACAAAAGTTTATACATTATTCTTGTATTACTTATAATCAAATCTGTAAAAGTAAGCCACTGAATTCCGATAATAAGAAGCCTGTTACAGACAATTAGTATTCTATTCAACACAAATGTATTCCTTACAATGTAAAAAATATAACCTACCTGATTAAAATTAACATTGAATCTAATAAGTGCACGATCAATGTACGTACATGTATCGAACACGTGATATGGATATTCAATATGAATAATTTTTGGAAATTTAAATGTTTACTTATATTGATATGAATGTAAAGTATACGGAATGTTCGTTGATCCGTATCAAATAAGATCAAATATACGCTATAAAATATAAAATGAATGTTCAATACATTGGAGTAGTGATTAAAAGCCAAAATTTTGAGAGAAAACAATGATATAAAATCAGGTGCCATATTTTTAAATGAGAAGTAGACAAAGTAAACAATATGAAAATAGAAAGATGTGGAAAGATTGGAATGAGAAGACAACTTTCCACCAGAGATCGAATGACGTTAGCCGTACGGCTCCCAACAATGAGCAATCCCCATAACGCATTAAAAAAGCCCCGACATAACAAATGTGAAAATATGCATTCGAGAAGCTAAATTATAAGTGCCTGATGTATGTACAAAACAATAAATGGAAAACAATTATGATATAAGCAACAAAAGGCAACCACTGAGTTACAGGCTTCTGACGACTTTGGACAGGCACAAACAGAATGTGGCGAAGCTTAAACTATTTGTGAACGACAAACCCTGCCATAACCTTGAGCAGTTGTGTAACAGCACAATGTAAAAACCACATATAAACATCATTTGAAAAAGACTTATCAGATCGACACAAAGCACACAAAAAATAAAACTTGAAAGAAATGGTCAGACACCAAATACCGATCTGAGAGAACTCGCAGTAACTAAGAGATAGTTCAAAGCCAATTACAAGTTGTAAAAAAAATTATGTATCCAAGACTAAAATATCAATCAAAACATATACAATGAATTTAGGAATAAACGTCATAAAGAGTCAGAGAAAAACATGATCTTCTGCAATGCCAAAAAATAAATATCGACAGAAAATAGGACAATGAATGTTTATACATATATATAATGTATTGCTGTATAGCAATAATATTAAGTTATGTTTCAATACATTGATATCAATATCAATGTCAGGACGATGGGGTCAAATGGACTCTACCGTGAAATAAGGAAATGAAAAACTATAAGTTTTAGAAAATACAATATTCAAGATGGAATGTAACCCCTGGAAATAGAATGCAATTTCATGAACATGTATATTGTAAGCAATAATTAGTAGATAATGCATGCAACGGATACCAGGATTTGCAAAACATATTGTTTCAACAGACCACATCAACCACACCTGACTTGTCCGGGAAACTTGACATTCAAACAAAGAGAAACGACAACGGACACCAAATGGTCAAGGTACCCTGACTTTAAACAGTTAAAAAATTTTTTTAAAAAGCAAATTATCAAAGATACCAGACTTATAATTTTGTACGTCAGACGCTCGTTTCTTCCGCAGAGGAGACGACCAAAACAGTTCGAAAGCCAAATCAAATAAAAAATGAAGGACATTCAAACTCATAAGTCGAAAATAAACTGACAACGCCATGGTTTAAAAAGAAAAAGACAAACAGACAAACAATAGTACACAAAACACAACATAGAAAACTAAAGACTGAGCAACACGAACCCCACCAAAAACTGGGAATGATATCAGGTGCTCCGGAAGGGTAAGCAGATCCTGCTCCACATGTGGCACCCGTCGGGTTACTCATGTTAGTACAAACCCGGTAATAAATCTAATCTAATTCGGTAGGTCACATTCAGGAAAAAGGGACGGGATTGTAGTTACGACATTAGGAACATATCCGTATCATCTGCGAAACGGATATTCTGTAACGTCAACCAACTCGTAATGGCGTCCGTAAAATTTACCTAGGGATGATTTCAACTTCACCACTTTGATCTCTTGGTTTAATAGCTTCCTTGTGAGCAGCAACCCTCAATTAAGGAAATCATGATAGGAAATACAAGCCCTGGAGTATCGTTTCAACTGGGAGATATATACTCCGTATGCAGGCGCTGCTGGAATGTTGCTACATAAAAATTAAAAGTTCACAATTGGGAAGCTGAAATCATCTCTTTTGTCATAATGTTTTGTTTTCAACCGACCCTCATTTTCAATTTTTAGATGTAAGTCAAGATATGAGACAGACTTAACTATATGTGTTGTATTCTTTATCTCAAGTTTGATGGGGTAGATGCGTTCAACACAGTCACCAAATTTTGAATTATTTAGTGAGAGCACATCATCTATGTAGCAGAAAGTAAAGTTAAAGGATACTGCTAAATTCTTTTCTTTCTTCCTAAGAAATTCCTGTATGACGTCAGTCTCATATGAATAAAGGAACAAGTCTGCAAGAAGAGGGGCACAGTTGGTTCCAATAGGAATGCCGGTTGTTTGTTGAATAAAACGTCCTTCAAACGTAACGAAAATGTTGTCAATCAAGAAATCAAGCATCTTGATAATGTCAGTTTCAGAGTGATATTTTATAAGTAGGATTTATCCCTCCCTTAGACAAGATACTTGTATCTACGTTGGCTATTTTCTTTATTAAACAAAGCAGGACCAACTCTTTCAATTTGTTTTTTAGTTTGGAATGGGGAATACTTGTGTAAAGTGTAGAAAAGTCAAATGTTTTAATACTATTGCAAGATGAAAGAGTCTTAGATTGAATGTACTCTAAAAGATCCTTGGAATTATTTAGTATCCACATCTGATTCACGCCACCTATAGAATAGGTAGTTTCACAATAACTTTGAAGCACGGCTTTGATTGTTGATAAAATTGATGTTAATAATTTATAAAGAGGTTTCGTGGAGCACTTGGAAGACCCATCAATATATCGTTGTGTGTAAGGACACTTATGTAGTTTAGGTATCCTATACAGTGATGGAAGATTCAGTTCTTCATCTTTGGTTGAAATTCCAAAGGAACATAGAACAGACAAATGATTATCAATGATTTCCTCTTTAGTAAATGTCGTTGGGGTATATGTTGAGTTCCCAAGTGAATTTTGTCAATACCTAATTCATTTATCAAGCAGTTTATGTAATGCGATTTACACACAAAAACGATGTTGTTTGGGGCTTTATCTGCGGGGACAACAACATATATGTCATGGAGGTAGGAAAAGTGTTTAGCAACATTTGGGTCTTTAAAGATTGATGTAGCATGGGTATTAATAGATCCATTCAGTTTCTTAATTCTGAATTGTATTAACGTCATCACAGCCTCAATCCATTCGGAAAGAGTATCTATGTCTTCTCTCTCGCGTTTAGCCCATTGCCATAATCCTCGACTGAATCCATCAGTATTTTGCAGTTGTGTTTCCAATTGATGGATTTAGGCTAACGATATTTCGGGCCTTTGGTTAACACATTTCGCAGAGAAGTCCTCGATACTAGTTCATGTATAGTTTACGTTGAATAAATAAATATAAATGTACAATACAATGGCATTGACGATACCGCTAAATTTGTAAAAGATGATTGAAAGAAAAAAGTGTGAAGTAGAACTTACCGAGTTTATTGCAAAGCACCTTTCGATGATAGTCTCAAACAGAAATGTTTATAGATGAAATTCAGAGAGCCGACGTTGTTAAACTATACTTCAAAATAGTGCATAAATGTAATATACACATTGTAAAAAGTTAATTCTGTATGATGGAGTTAAACCCTCATATTAAATTTTAAAATACATCAAATGCTTCTTAGTCAAAAAGTTATTCGTTAATTCGCTTATTAGTAGATATATGATTGCATTGAAGACTATTTACACCAAATGTTGTTGTTGTTGAAAATGTTTAAAGGCATGTTGATGCTTATAATTGACAACAGGTGATACGAAAGTGAAAGTCAATTATAATGGCGACAAAAATACATTCTATCTGCTTTACATGAAAACATTAAATTGTAACTTGCTGCATCGCTGATATTTTGCTCAATTTGTCCAATAAAACACTTAATTTTCTGAAAAGTAAGTAGGATTTTAAGCAAAAGGAAAGTATAGTTGGAAATAATACATGCTTGAACAAAATGCATATTCAGTTTAATAAGTGCACGATCAATTTACGTACAGATATCGAGCATGTGATATAATTATACAGCATAAATGGATTTTCGGAAAATTTAAATGTTCAATTTGAATTGATATGAAAGTCATTTATATTATAATAACATTCTAAGCTGCGTTTCAATACATTTGTTTGAATGAATAAATCAATGTGTAATATAATTTCAGTGAGTCTGTTGTTTCGAAGCACTCTGTGTATAAGTCTCCGCAAATAATTATCAAAAGTTAAAAGGCAAGACAATGTATATGTACCTGGGATTCTGTACTTCCAAACGAGACATACAAAGATGGAAAAATAGTTTGAACTGTTTTTGGCACATTTTTTCTGAATTCACTGTATTTAAAGCTCTACAACTTCGTATTGGATTTGTCCTACCAATTGTTTTTAATTCGAGCGACACTAATGAGTCTTATGAAGATGAAACTCGCGCGTCTGGCGTACAAAATATCACCCTCGAATCTTTAATGAGTTTTGTTTAAACCTCATGTTTTGTAAAAATGAGAGGAGGTATGACTGCAAACTTGTGAAATTCGTCAATCGTTCAAGTTCTGTTGATAAATGAATGGGATGATATGAACCGAACTATTCAATGCAGAAATGCCACAAGTGATCTCACTATGATGCCATAAACATATGATATACTATCATTCTGTAAGATTTTGAGCGCAACTTGCGCAAAATATCATCGACTTTAAATGAATATGTTTATTTTTTAAGGCACCTTTTGGTCATATAGAGCTCTTAATGAATCTACGTATTTATACATTCCTGGTTTGAAAAAAAAAAGTTTGAAAAACGTTTCCAATATGTTGTGTATGTTTTTATTATAGTGTTATTTACTTGCTTTTTCTGTATTGGCCCTGGTATATATTCGAGGTAAGCTGTGAGACTCAAACAGCCTGTTCATAATGATTCTAACTGTTCGAGCTAACCAAGAAACTAACCGTAAAATACATTGTAGGTACAGAAAAAATAAATTGAGCTTGCATTTACCCAGTTACGACGGATTGTCTTGTCAAAATTTATGATATTTCTGATTTTCCAACCCAGGTACTTAATTTATGCTAATGTAATTTATTTTATCTGGCAAACATAAAGTACTTTGGTAAGAATAAATCAGATGCTACACCATTCTTATACGTAACGTCTGCGTTCTTGTGCTTTTGAACGACGAAAACGAAACAATGGCGATAAATTGAAAGTCAACTCGGAAAAGTTGAAGAATGTTTCCGCTTCAAATTGAAACCAAAAAAAAAAAAAGGATCATAATCAAATTGTTCTTATCATTCAAAATTAAAAATGTGTCTAAATTTCTTTTAAATATGTCAACAATTTAGTTAAGCATTTGTTAGTGTCTAATATACAATATGTTAAAAGGTAAAAATATTAATAGACTCTAAAAGATCTTGCAATCAAGGACAATTCTACAAAATACTGTGGATTCATCATTATTCGTTGGACACCAATGTTAGTATAATTCGTGGATACAAATAAACCACGAATTTCAATGTTCAACGAATGACAATTTTTTTATGAGCTTGTATGCGGACTTTGTCAAAACCATGAAATCAAATTTACATGAAAACGCAACTTTTCCTTAAACGACGAAAATTGAGACCAATGAAAATTAATGAATCTACTGTAACTAAAACATTAAAATATGACAGAAGACGACCATCGACGAGGTTTCTGACTTGAGATAGGAACATGATACTGTGTCTGGGTAAACGCACAATAAAATATTTTCCAAACAAAATTTGTTTCCTTTTAAATAAAACTTAATATAGACGTCCAGACAAGCCACATAAGTTATACTTTACTTAAGTATCGCACCTTTCTGTCATACATAATGTTATGTCACTGAAGAAGTTTTTTGGTTAATGGGCGTTAATTTAATTCTGGTACAGAAGTATTTTGTTATTGTTGTTTTTACTATTATGTACGTAGAGAATAAAAAATTGAAAACATTAAAAGTAGAGAATAAATTAGCAAAAAAATAATTACGAAAATACGGAACTCCAAGGTAAATTAAAAAAAGAGGAAATCCATAAAAACTGACAAAATCAAACGTTAGACTATACCTTAAGAAAATGGAACGTTAAACCTAGTTTTATAGCAAACTTAACCTTTCACTTGTAGCTTTTTCTGTAATGTAGTAACAAATTGCTGGAATTGTTTGCCTTTACAAAGAAAATATTCTAATTATTTGGTCAGGTTTGATTAAGATATACCCTCTTTTATACTTTGGATTGTATTTGTATTTTTGTTCTTTCTTATGTTTTGATATTTAAGAATCTGTTTTGCTTTTGCTTTTGTTTTCCTCCATAACCTGAGAGCTGGATTTCAAATCAACTTTCACTTATTATTTCTTACAACATTATTTTATTTTGCACTTTCTATTTCATCTGTTATCAAAATAAATGAGTAAGACTAAATCCTAAAATGAAACAATAAAAATGTAGGCTTGTATTCACAATCTTTCGTAAACGTGGATTAGGTTTCAATAATCTTGAATGAATATTGCGGACATAATGACTTTACCGCCTTTATTCAAACACAGCCGTCATAAGGTAAAGAATTCCTGGCTCTGCCCTTAAGGTTCGGACTTTCGAGTATGTTTTAGCTCTTCCGTTTTGTTTCAGAATTTCGATTCCAAATTAGTTTGACAAAAACAACAATGAAGAGATATATTGTGTTAAATGCATATATAAGTGTCGTTAATGAGGTTTCATGTATTCGTAATCTGACAATAAATGTTTTAGAATTGAATGAATCTGAGACAAATTTTTATAGTCATACTTCACTCCACGATTTTGTTTTATCATAGTAGATACTTTATAACACAGAGTTTAATTTGTTGATTGCTTTATCATATTATCAAAAATGTATAAATGATATATGTTGTTAAGACCTCTTTAAGGTCACGTTTCAATGTTACCGATATAGATAAATGAAACTACGTCGTAAAAACTATTTTCTTAAAATATTACTGAAGCATTCTGTACGAGATGTACTGGAAATGCAATTGTATTTTTATTTATTTTACAATACTGTTCTTGCATCCAGCACAGTCTCAGTGGAGAGGGTAAGATATTATTACTTTGTCACCCTTTTTGGTCTATATATCATTTATCGTAACTTTGGTTTTATTATAACATTATATTTATTGTTTTATCTTTATTAAACTTAAAACATTTTGGTCGTTTGTTGTTCTTGTAATATCCTAATTTGCATTTTAAAATTTTATAATTTAAAAAAGTTTTATTTCACGTTTGTGTCGTGTAAATGTTTAATGTCTTTACGTTACAATGACTGGGAAAGATGACAATGGACAACCTTTCACACCATAGATGCCATATAGATTTTCATTTTATATTGATTATAACAAAGGTGTCACATGTGGAACAGGATCTGCTAACTCTTTGGGAGCACCTAAGATCACCCGGTTTTTGTTTTGTACGTGTTGCTAAGTGTGTTTTATAAACTGTTTTTTTTTCAGTTTTGTAGTTTTTTCTGTTTTTGCCATTTTGTCGTCGACTTATGAGTTTGAATATCCCTTTGGTATCTTCCGCTCCTTTTTATCATTAGCATCACACATAATTTACACTTAATACAGATAAAGATTAATTGTAGATAATATGCTACTTATCTCTTAATGAGGAAGATGATAACTGCCCCACTAGTGACTAGTGATTCTTTCACAAAGATAATAAAGTTGTGCCACAGTGTGTTTCCCTTATTTTATATGAAACTCTCAAACAAAACAACATTTTTGGTATAATTTCCTCCCATATCAAAGAGAAGCAACTATTTGGAATAGTATTATTTTCAACAAAAAGTTCCATGGTCTTCATTGTAATTTTGTATGTTTATGCACCAAGTAAAACGATATTAACGAAGTAAATTGTCATTTTTTTTTTAAAATTTTACCATTTTGTACTATCATTAGACATTGTATTTCCTGGAAAAAACAAATTACTGAGATGACGATTGATAATGAAATGTGTGTCCATATACATTTCTTAAAATCACACTGAGGCAGAGTACTAATTGTTTGTACCTTCAATAAAGGTAGGGATACACACTATTGCGTCATCAGTTTCATTCAAATATCATATTTACCATTTTTATATTTCAGAAACTACTACAACAGGAAATATATACAATATTGGAAAACAACCCATCCATGCACAAAGAAAACATGGCCAGGAATGTAAGACAAAAACACCAACATTTATATACTGCTAATAATATTTATTATAGTGTTACTATGCTAAATTATGTCGTGAATTCTTAAACATGTAATCTTTAAACCTCTTTTGTTTGGATGGGATGGGATGGGAGGATTTACGATATCAAAATAAACACAATAAATTCACTAATTATTTCTTTTCAACTTCTTCTACAACTAAAGGTCCTTCATTTTCGCAGCCAAAAAACATATCTAGAAAGAAGATGTTTGATAATAAAAGCAGACACACAGTGATCAAAGGCATTTAACCATTGTTCCGTGAAATTACTGACAGAAAAAAAATCTTTAATCGATTGTTTTGTTTTTGTATTTGTTATTTTCATTAATTACAATGAAATTTTTCTAAATACTTAATGCATAGGTCCACTGTTTTGCAATTAAAAAAGCGCCAAAAGTGCAAAAGAGGTTTATAATTGTTTTAAGACATGAATGCTTCTCAAATGATACCTACCACGGGTATCTACACTCGGTAAAAATGTTATGATAGGGAATTGTCACAATCGGTAAATTTACAGATCAGACGATCATGGATAGTATCTTAAAATCATGCCTAAAAAAAACATTAAGCGAGACACAGACGCATTGTATTGTTTACCGTACAGCTAGTGTAATGCCGATCT